ACAGACTGCATCCCATCAGCTGCACATCACCGATTGCGCAGCACAAATTGCACCACGCATCTGCGCACACACCCCACCTTTCACGAACAGAACACGCACAACATGGGTCGCATCATATACGCACCACATATAGTGGACCACGCTGACTGCACAGCGTAGATTACACAACACATATTGCACCACATCGATTGTATCGCACAAAGTGTCACACACACATTTTGCACGACACACATTGTACCACATGGCTTGCCCTACGTAGTTTGCACCGCATGGATGCACTACGCAGCCTGCACCGCATACGTTGCACAACATAGGTGGCACAACATATACTGCACCACCTAAGTACCACAGCATAAATTGCACCAAGCACACACGCACATCGCACAGTACATATCGCACAATATACGTTGCACCAGACGCTTGCACCGCACATAATCACATGAATTGTGCCACACAAATCGCGCAACGTAGGTTCTCTGTTCCAAAAGAAGCATCGGGATCTTTTCTTCCCCCCCACCCACACCGGACTTATCGGTTCCTTCTGGGGATACGCAATTTTTAGATATGCGTTTGCCCCGCCACCCATCTCAATAATGAACTCATGCCATCCCAGGCAGGCTGGCATCGGTTCCACCCGCATCCTTGCGCGCACTAGCTTCCAATGGTCCCTTGCAACAGACGGGGCGAAGTGCGCGCGCGCGAGTCGTCGCGCGCGCGTGCCCGAATCCTTCAACAAACGCGCGCCTCGCAAGGATTTCAAAATTGAGCGCCCCGAAAACATGTAGAAGCACGGGGTTTCGCAACAAGTTTCTCTGACTGGTGCCCGGGCTTTTGCCGATTCATAAGAAGACACATGACTTTCACCGTTTTCATAACATGCTACCACGCTGGCCTCTCCCGCGCGCATGCCCGAATCGTTCGCATCCCATGCGGACAAAAAAAAACGCGGCGAACTGCACGCGCGCATCGTCGCGCGCGCGTGCCAATTCATCGACATCTTGAGTTCCGCACGGATGGTTTTACAAAAAAGAACGCAACGAAAACATAACCGACCTATGGTTTTGCAACGCCAGGTTGGAAAATGCCAACGCTCGCGCTCCTGCGAATTCTGGAGAAAAAAATGCGCGTTGCTATTTGTTTCGTTGAATTCGGGCACACTCGCGCATCCAAAGGATTCGAAAACTCTTGCGCGCGCTAGGGGGGGGGGGGGGCGCGATCTGCGTCTAATGATATCGCGCAGGCCGCTCTCGCGCGTCGGCCGCGCGCGCATGTCAAACCCCCTCCATAACCTTCATCACCGACGCGAGGGCGCCGCCATCGTCGCCGGCGCGATCGGCATCGGCGCCGTCACTGGCTTTGCCGTCGTCGTTGTCATCATCGTCGCCAGCATCGCTGCCATCGGCACCGCGCCCACAGTCGTCGACGTTGCCATGCTACCGCGCCCGCCCAAACCGCCGACACGCACTGAACTGCCCGCTGGGAAGTGCCCAGCGGTCAGCGCCGCCGCGGCCGCGTCGGCCGCGCCGCACTCGGTGGCCGCTGCGCGCGCGAGCACGCGCGGGCTAGCGCGGCCGCAGAGATACACCGGCCAACGCCAAGCACTCATCGCAGTCGCCGCCGCGTGGGCATTGTTGACCAAACAACAGGCGGGCGAGTGGGATATTTGCGCGAACACTGGAGTGCACTACTCACTGCGAGCGCTGGCGATACGCTCCTTGTAGATTCCCCGAGCCAGAAAAATATAATCGACCTCCCCCCCGGGGTTACAAGCATATCCTAGTAAATGGACACCATCTGGTTTCAGCAAGTCCGTTCGTTTACTGTCTGAACTGCGGGGGTCGTCCGCCAAATTGTAATCTCCAGTGCGGAAGTCGCTATGTGAGAGGCGTGTCACTTGGGAGGTTAGCCATGCTCGTCTCACGGCCCTGCGGAATCTCAAGGCCGGCCGTCACCCGCGAACGGGGCTTCCCTTAAGCGGCCCACGCGGCTAGGGTAGCCGCCATTTAATCTCGTGGCTCCCTAGTTAGTTTCGGCTGACTGCGGAGTTCATTGGGCCTGCGTCTCCTCCTCCTCCTCCTCCTCCTCCTCCTCCTCCTCCCTCCTCCTCCTTCTCCTCCTCCTCCTCCTCCTCCTCCTCCTGGTCCTCCTCCTCCCCCTCCTCCTCCTCCCCTCCTCCTGCTCCTCCTCCCTCCTCCTCCTCCTCCTCCTGCCTCCTCCTGTTCCTCTCTCCTCCTCTTTCCTCCTCCTCCTCCTCCCCTCCTCCTCCTCCTCCTCCTCCTTCCTCCTCATGCTCCTGCTCCTGCCTCCTCATCATCCTCCTCCTCCTCCTCCCTCCCCCTCCTCCTCCTCCCTTCCTCCTCCTCCTCATGCTCCTGCTCCTGCTCCTGCTCCTCCTCCTCCTCCTCCTCCTCCCTTCGTCATCCTTCCCTTCTCCTCCTTCTCCTCCACCTCCTCCAACCAGGGCTCGACCCAAATTTCTGTAGCAATTCGTGGGGGCCTCCCATACCATCAACGCTAAATCGACTCTATCCATTCGACTCCCAAACGAGAATCGCTGCTAGCTGCTAACCGACTCTAAAGAAAGAGTTACGAGGGTACACAAGGCTCCCACGTTCTCCATCGCTCAGCCTGCATTACGCTCGTTGCGGCAAAAAACATCGAAACGAAAACGGCCCACGAAATCGCCAAAGCACCGTTTGGGTCGACCCCTCAGGAACTCCGCCGAGAAAAAGAAGCCAATCCAGCTTCTCCGTCCCGCCTGGATCGTCCACCCTCTGAATTGAGAAAGGCCTCCGGACGCCTGCAGGCGGCACGGCAACGGTGGCCTCGTCCTCACTCCTCTCTTCTGTCCCCCCCCTCCTAATCCCCCCCACTTCCTGACGTTCTCATTGCGATCGTCGCCCTCGTCGTCCTCATCGCCCAGTTCCCTCCTCCTCCTCCTCCTTCTCCTCCTCCTCCTCCTGTCCTCCTCGTCCTCCTGCTTCTCCTCCTCCTCCTCCTCCTCCTCCTCCTCCTCCTCCCCCTCCTCCTGTCCTCCTCGTCATCCATCCCCGTTCCTTTTGCATAGCTCCTCTCTGTCGGCCCCCCCCCCAGACGTGTCGGTGGGGCGAGCCGGGCGCTTCGCCCGAGGCTTCCTCACACCACTAATGACCCCTGAGACTTGACGTGCGTGACAGCCTCACGGGTGGAGGGCGGGGTCACGCTTCCACGTGTGGCTCTCGCCTCTGCGCCGCGCAGATTCTTCCTCAAACTGTGCCACGGTGTCACGTTCTTAAGATGTGGCTCTCGCCTCAACGCCGCGCACTTCCGTCCAGATGGAGAGTGGTTCGTGGTCAAAATGTTGTTCTCGTCGCAGCGCCGCAGCAATTTCACGGATGGAGGGCGGGCCGTTTTCAAAATGTGGCTCGCGCCTCAAAACGCCGCGTGCATTCGTCTTGACAGCTTGCGACATGTAATGTTCAAACATGCAGGTACATCCTTTTCTACATATGGCTCTCGCCTTAACTCCGCGCGCATTCGTTTTTTGTTTTAAAGAGGGACCCGTTTGAAGGGCTCGTGCGGTTGAAGACCCAGGAATGGTGTCCTGACGCGACTCAGGGTTGACAAGGCGCACCAGTCATGTGGATTCGCTGTGTTGACGTCCCAAGAACGGTGTTCTGGCACGGCTTAAGATGGCCATGACGCAAAAGCCATGGTGATCCGCTGCATTGACGTTCCAGGAATTGTATTTGGCACGGCTGGGGATTATCCAACGGTTGCTTTCGAATGAGCCACTTCCCACAATGTACATGACATATTGTAGGGACCAGCAAGAAAGAATTGGGGGGATGGTTTATTGCAACATTGTTGATGCGTCTTGGGTTTACACTGGTCCTCCTCCCTTTCACCATCATGATCTCTCTCCTTCGTCAACCTCCTCCAACAAGTGAGTGGCATCAGTTCGCTCATCTTCCTCTCCCTCGCCATCCTTCCCTTCTACAATTACTCAATATGAATACTACTCTCCCTATTCCCCTGATGGCGTGCTGGGAATATTCGACCCCCCCACGCGTACTCTTTTTGTACACGCAGGATTCCCGGGAATGGGGTTTTCGCATGCGTTTTTGTTCAAAATGCTGCTCTCGCTGAGGCGCCGTCCTCATTTCTGCTCCCGAATCGTTCTGAATCGTGCTCCCGCTGCAGCGTGGGCCTCATTTTCGGATCGGTGTTTTGCCTCCGTCGTTCAGGATGGCGTTCTCGCCCCAGCGCGGGCCTCTTTCTCGCGCGCCCATCCGCCCGCCACCACCGCGCCGCACCACGCCCCGCCCCGCCGCACGCACACCCACCGCCACTTCCACCCACCAACGCACGCACGCACGCACGCGCACCACCACCGCGCACCGCCACCACCACCGCACTACCCCACCCACCACCACCACGCTACACCGCGTCACACCACATCACACGCGCGCACACACAGACACACACGCACGCACGCACGCACGCACGCACGCACGCACGCACGCACACACACACACACACATACACACGCACACACACACATACACACACACGCACACACAGACACACACACACACATACCACCACCGCCACCACCACCACCGCCACCACGCACGTACGCACCTGGCCCACCACCAAACCACCAAGACAGCACACCACGTCACACCACAGCACACGCGCACACGCACACACACACACACACACACACATACACACCACCACCACAAACAACCACAACCACGCACACACGCACGCACGCACGCACGCGCACCACCACCCACTACGCACACGCGCGCGGAGCCACAGGTCCGCTACGACACGCGTCCGCGGATAGAGAAAATCAGCGCCATGTTAAGGAATGGGAGGGAGGGGTAGGATGTCAGATATTGACGCGAGCGCACCTAACTTGACCCCCCCTCCCCCACACATTCCCTCCGCGGGAGCCACGCGACTGTGCCGTTGAACTCGTAATGGTAAAGACCCTTGGCCTCCATGCAGCCCTGCGCGGCGGCGGCAACGCGCTCGCCTTGCGGATGCCCGCTTGGCACCAACGGCGACGTATAGACGTGTCTTTTTCCCCTGGGGGAGGCCGGCGGCAAGACGGCGAAAACTGGTAGGAGGGCACCAGGAGGGCGGCCCCGCCGGCGGAAGCGGAGACCACGTATCCGCCATCGCTGCGCACGTCTTGGGGCTCGGGGCCTCGGGGAAGAACAACGATTGGCCAATCCTAAAAACCTGGATCCGAAAATGTGAACATCTGTTGGAGGGCACATTGTGCAGAAGAAGAAGAAGAGAAAGAAGAAGACAAACTGCATAAACATGGACGTTTAGCGCTCCGCGCGAATTTCTTGGATCTGCGCTGGGCCCCCATCCCTGGCACGCGGAGCGCGCCAGGGGCGGCGCTGGAGGCGCCGCCAGGGGGGCTCCAGCGCGGATCCAAGAAATCTGCGTGGAGCACCATTCTTCTTCATATTCGATGCTTAGTTTTTGCTATTCGATGCTTAGCTCTTACTGCTCGGATGTGCATGCCGTTCCTACTATTCGATGCTCAGTTCTTCTGCTGGCTTCAGCCAGCTTCTGCTGGCGGAGCCGCCGCCGTCTCACTCCCGCCGGCTTCCGTCGGCCTCTCCGCCGTGGGAGACACGGCAGCTTCTGGATCCCCCGAAGGCGGGGCACTGGCTGGGCGCGACCACGGCTATGACTGGGGGGGCGCCTTCCCGAGGTGCTGTCCTCCCCTGCACCGCGGCAGGTGCACGCCTGACCCCAACAGTCGATTCCCCTTGGCCTGGCGTTTCGTGTCAGGCGCCACGCTTCGTGCTCCGCTCCAGTATGGCTTGCGTGTTAGTGACTGCTCGCTTTCGCGCAAGGCATCAGAGATGGTCCAATGCGAACCAGGCTCTTCGACAATCACCCCCAGCATAAGAGCAGCCCTCCAAACAGATGACTTTTTCATGGCAAGGCAAAGTCAAGTTCTCCAGAACTCAGCTTTGCCCGCGACACGTAGATTTAGGTCGGGCGTGTCCCCCTACAGGCGGGTTTTTGGAAGACAAATACAAAACAGTCAACTCAAAAACATCAAAACTTAGGTTAAAAAGATCGCCCCCAGACTGTTTCGACTATGTTTGAACTTCCCCCTTGTAGAAGGCCACGCCCAACTTAAAACGGAGATGTTGACAATATGGTGCCCGTGAACTTTTTGCAGGGGGGGGCGGGGGTCCGTCGTGACAAGGGCGCCAACCTTGTTGAAATAACCCAGAGAACCGTTCCTCACATGCCAGGTTTCATTCGAGGGGCCCACGGACACACAAATAAATACACACGAATCCGAGGATTCCCCTATATGTTCCTAATGTTCGGGATGTTCGTCTTCCCCACCACTTCCCATGTTTTCCTATAGTTTCTGGGGAATCGACGATTCATTGTGTCTGTGTATGCTTGTTCCTCTTGATAGGCTTCACGCGGTTGCGGAATCATGGGGGATGCTCTTGCCAGAGTCCTCTGTCTCCCGTTCCGCCGCCTATTTGAGGCTCCAGCTTGAGTCCGCCAGCGGCTACAGCGGCACTGAACTGCACCTGGCGTTTGAGAAGAGCCACATGCAAAAACGCACTGGCGTTCGTGAAATGTGTGCACGGGGAGCTCGCCAGCTATCTCCGACCAGGTCTCGCAACTCCTCCTCCTCCTCCTCCTCCTCCTCCTCCTCCTCCTCCTCCTGCTCCTGCTCCTCCTCCTCCTCCTCCTCCTCCTCCTCCTCTCTCCTCCTCTTCCTCCTCCTCCTCCTCCTCCTCCCTCCTCCTCCTCCTCCTCCTCCTCCTCCTCACTCCTCCTCCTCCTGCTCCTCCTTTTCCTGCTCCTCCTCTTCCTCCTCCTCCTCCTCTCAAGCAACTTGGGCTGGAGCACTATTTTGGCAGCTCTCCGAATCCAACTCTCACCGCCGCCAAGTGGCGCTTGGGGGGCAATCAGTTATTTGCGCCAGAGCGCAGCGGTGTCGCTGCCCAGGCTTGCGCAGGAGATCTGACTGGCGAAGAATGAGAGATGGGAAAGGGTAAGTATCAGGCTACGGAACAGTCCCAGCCAGCACGTCTATAATCCACCTTTCACGCCTGCAACTTGGCACGAGTGGGACGACGCTGTGGCAGCTAATTCAAACAAATGCTCGCGCTGCTTTCGGCCAATCAAGGTCAACAAGCCGAAGGTCGCAGTCAACGACGGGGGCCAGGGCGGCAAGGGCGGCAGTGGGCGCAGCGGCGGCGTAGCAGGAGGCAGCCAGCTCCAGCTGGCCGTAGCCGCAACGCCCGTGGAGATCCTAGCCCAGGCCCTCGGCGTCACCAAGGACCCGCTGCTGCGAGCAGCGCTGACGGCAGCCATCCAGCTGCAGTCTCAGCCCGCAACTCCTCCGCAGACCGCCGAGGAGGCTGTCAGGAGGGCGGCGAGCGCCTGGAAGGATGCCAACTACAAACACGAACAAACAGCTCAGCAAGTGGCCAGATGCCGCGAGGCGCTGAGCCGGGCTGAGAACAAAGAAGCCGAGACCGTTCGCGTGCTGGCCGAGGCAGAGATCGCTAGACGGCTCGCTGCCAAGGCCTTGGCGGCATAGGCGGGATTTGCAGCAATTCCCGCCGCCGAGGCATCCGAGGCCGAAGCGATCAAGGCCGAGCAGACGCAGTACAGCAAAGTAAAGTTGAAGCTCGACTGGGACACAGACTTCTTCGAGAAGGTACGTTCGGGTGAGTGCGAGTGTGAGTGCACAGGGAAAGACGAGCTGCTCAAGCTAGAGACTGACCTTCTGGCGATGAAGCAGGACCTCACCAACAAGAGTGACTTTATTACCAACTGGAGGGACAAGATGAATGCCATGCAGGAGGCGGTCAAGGCTCGCCACGCCAAGAAGCGCAAGGCTGATGGGGGAGGAGCAGCTGAGCCTTCTCCACCAACAGCCGCTGCAGAGACGAGTCCACCGCCTACGGCTGCGACGGGAGGTGCTGAGGTGAACGCGGGAGGCCCCGTGACCACCTCGCGCGAGCACGACGCGGCGATCGAGGCGGAGGGGAAGCGCATCAGGAAGGCCCAGGAGGCGGCAGCGGCGGCAGCAGCGCAGGCAGCACAGGCGGCCGCGCGTCATGCAGGGCCAGGGCGCTGCGGGGGCGCCTCCTGCCTCGGCGACAGCGCGTCATCAAGGGGGCCGGGTTCGGCCCCAACGAAGTCCCCGGGGGCGCCTTCACCCCGCGCTACCTCTACCACGTCGGAAGTTATGTGCACCAGTTCTTCGTCGAGCACGCCGTCTACATCTGCAGCGTCTACATCTGCAGCGTCATCGGGAGCAGACAGGGCGCATAGCCCCAGTGCCTCGGCAGGGGAGGCGCCTGGATCGCAGCCTGCAGCTTCCCGCTCGAGGCGATCACGCGCTGTGTTGGATGGGGGCGCAGCGTCGGCGGTCACGCAGATCTGTTCCAGCAATGCCACCCTCCTGGGGCGCAAGGCCTGGGACTACCTCTGTCATTTGCACTCGCTCAAGGTATTTCAGCATGTCGCCATCTGCGAGACTCACACCAGCGAAAGCTCAGTGGCGGAGTGGAAGACAAAAGCACGTCTTGCCAAGCTTCGATGCCACACGAACGCAGCCAGACCCACGGGGCGCCGTGGCCTCACTGCCTCGGGGCAAGTGCGTGCCACAGGAGGAGGGGGGCCCCTTCTGTCCGAGGGTCACCGCCAGACTCCCGCCCTGTCTGGACACAGCAATGATTTGTCTTGGTTACACTCGGAGGGATTGAGTGTGCTAGACGGGTCTCTGCCTGTTGTTGTGAGGCAGCGCGGTTATAGCATACTAGTTTTCACTTGTTACGGGCATCCTTCCCAGGGATACGGGGGCCAGAACCTCGAGCGTCTGTCCAAACTTGGGGCCCTTTCACATGCCCTTCATCGTCCCTGGGCGGAAGGTGCTCGGCGATTTCAACTTTTCGTCCCAGGTGCTCTCCTCGTGCGGCTTCCTCTGGAACATCGGGGCTACAGTGCTCGAAGCTCCCGTCGAGCACACGTGCGCGAGTAAAAGCGGGGCGTCTCACACCGACTATGTTATCGCATCGCCATCAACCGTTCCGTACATATTGGGAGTGCAAGCGATTCAGGGCGTGCCGTGGAAGCCCCACTGTGCATTCGTGCTTCAGCTTCGGAGCTCAGGAGAGCAATTGATCACTCGATCGCTCCTGATCCCCGAGAGATTGCCACAAGTACCTAGGCCCCAGGCTCAATCTCAGAGTGGGTCTACGTTGTCTCAGGCTCGCTCCAAACAGGTGGCCCAACAGGCGGCCGAACGGGAAAAACACATTGCTGCTGTCTCTGTGCTGTTCGGGGACATCCTCGATTCGGCCTGAGGCCAACCCCAACTCCCAGCCCCCTCTCGGTACGGATCCGTCTAGCGTCCCCATGATGCCAGATGGTCCCGAGATGTGGTCAGGCTGTCATTTCGATTTGTATGGGGATGAAGTTGACCAGTGGGCGGTCGAGACCAGCTTTGTCGGGCCCAGGGTCATCCCACCTGCTCCTCCTCCTTCCTCCTCCCCCTCCTCCGTGGCTGGGGGCGCTCAGGTGAATCTGCCAGCCCCTGCGAATTCTGATTCCGCTGTGGCAGTCGATGACGGTGAGACCTCCTCAAGCGAGAGTGAAGCCCATGTCAACGAGGACACCCAAACCCCGTCCCACTCCACTGCTGATGCTGCTGCCCCTGCTTTCGAGCTCCCATCCGACCTGTGGCTTTTGGCTCGAGCCCAAGCAGGTTTTCGGCCCCAAACCTCGGAGCAGGTGCGGGAGCCAGTTCGCGCGCCTCTGGCTTTCACAGTTGGAGGGCCGCACGTCTTACATGTCAGCAGTGCGTATGCAGCGTGGATCAGCAGTGTAGGGCAGATCTATCAAACTCATCACGACTTGGACCCATCCAACAAACATTCGCGGGCAGTGGGTCCCAAGTTGGTTGCTCATCGTGTGCGTCAGAGTGACCAGTACCGAG